ATCTGTCGCGGGGCAGTGGGGCTGCTGCATCCCAGGGAGAAGGTGGGAGCACTGGGGAACCCCCCCCTCCCTCCCCAGCTCTGGACCAGGCTGCACTCGGAGCACACAGCCGTCCCTCGCTGAGCATCGGGTCTGACTGCCTAAGAACTCATCTGAGGTCTGCCCTCTACCTCACCTCGTTCCAAATCTGTGCCTTTGCTTTTTGGAACTGGAAAAATAATTTCAGTGCAGATTTCTGGGGCTTTTCTCCCTTTCTCTTTTCCCCTGCATTTCTTTTTCCAGTACAAAAACAGCACCGAAAAAAGACCTCTCACTTGCTCAAAAAAGATCAACCTCCCACACCCTTTAGCTTTTCAAAATTCAACCTAAAATAAGTGAATTAACTTTGTTGAAAGGTGCCACAGGGAACGAGTCCCCTTAGTATTGCTATTGCATTGGAAAAAATGTTCCTCCTCCTCTCGTTCATGTGACGCTACTGTTTCTTAGCCTGCAAGTTTGAGCCCAGCATCCTCCCGCTGCTCTGCAAGGACCACTCTGGCAAGAGCGGTTGCTCCGCTTCCTCCACACAACGGGCTGCGGGGAAGGGCACCCACCTGAGCTCCACAAAGCCGCCAACCAGCGCCAGGGAAATGAAGTCTTTGCCGCGGTTCTGCCCGTTGTAGAGCAGCAACCCGCTGAGCTCCACAGTCCTGAACTCCATGGCGATGCGCACCGTGTGGTAGGCCTTCATCATCTTGAAGGCCAGGTAGGACTTGCCACCAAAGCTGGGGATGAAGTACCTGATAGCTGCAAGGGTCGGGGGGTGGGGGGTAGAGAAAAGAAAAGGGGGTGAAGTAGAGGAGGGAACAGGAGGACAGGGAGCAGAGAAAAGCCTGACAAGAGCCTGTGAACGCCTTCCTACCTCTACAAGTGAAGAGAGCTCTTGAAATGGCAGAAAGAAGCTCACTGTGTCCTCTGGACCCATGCTCCTGTGCAGTTATCCCCTGTCACCGCTTCCCAGACACTCGTACTGTTAGTAACTGACCCCTCTTGTGATGGCATGCCCCCCCTCCGATTGCTCCCAGGCTTCAGACATCCGTGGTATCGCTCCCCCAGTACTGAGCTTCAGTGGTGTCCTTCACTGTTGGTCCTCTCCATGCCCAGCTATCACATCCCCTGTGCCCTCAGCTTAGCTCTGCCGCACACACAGTTCCTCGTAACTCAGCTTCCCTGCTCCCTAGGTAATTTTTATCTGTCCTCCCAGAATCCCACACGACGGATTTACATTCATCACCCTACACTTTTATTTATCGCAGCTGAGATTTTCCAAGGGATCTGAAAGGTCAATCCCTATTAAAATTAACAGGGCTGGACACCCACATCCAGTAGCAGCTCTGAGTGCTCCAGCTTATAGCTTTAGGGACAAAGCTTTTCAGGAATAAGCACTCGCAACCACCCCGAGCCTTCGGCACGACACCAAATTGCCAGCGGGAGCTCACAGTAAATAACAGCAGCTCTGGTTAAGCGCGCTGCCAGCCTGCAGCTGTTTGCTAAGCAGCTCTGAGCGCCGGGGAATAGAGCCTGAATTATCAGCACGCATCTCCTGGTGCTCGAGAGGACAGTTAGTACCCGTCTCTCGGCCAGACTCTAACTAGCAGTCACTAGCTGCAGGAGCTACGAGCGACAATGCCACCAGCCGAGATAAAAAAGCAGAAGCTCAGGATCCCCGTGCTTCGGGGCACTGGTATATCAGAAGTGCAGCCAGGAAGAAATTGCTCCTGGCACCTTCTTACCCTGCAGCCTTGCCGTGCTTGCCTCTCACGATGCACGGCGCACGTACAACCTGCTCTTGGCAGAGCTAGGAAAGCCGGTTACATTGACCCCTGCAGTACCTCCTGCCTGGTACGTGTGCAGTGCCAGCGCAAGCTGTGGGGCCGGCTTTGCGTGTGCCCTCACGTCTCTCCATCACCACGCAGTCAGCGCAGTCTGCTGGAGCATGGATGGGCGCAGGAAGGACCACGCTGCGTGAAGCCCTGGTTGTGCCTAGCAGGGGCAACTGCAGAGCAACGCTTTCCCAGTTGCGTCCTCCCAGATTCCTCGGCCGGAGCCTCTAGGTGGAACTCAAAGCTCCAAGAGATGTGGTTCCCCTGACTGTGCTATCCCTGCTTTTGGCCCTCGCCCTCCTACAGCCGTGAGCTCCGCTACCGGCACCCAGCAGTGCCATGGCCACGACAGGTCAGAGGCACATACGTTTCTCACAGACGGCTCCTCCTTTGCCTGCCGGGCAGCTGCAGGTGAACTCCTTCCCGTCATCCTCGCAGGTGCCGCCGTGCAGGCAGGGGTGAGAGTCGCAGGGCCGCGAGGGTTTCTTCGTGGTGGGGGGCTGGCGCGTGGGCTTCCGCCGGGTGGTGGCAGGGAGGGTGGAGGTGGGTCTCTTGGTGCTCACAGCTCCTGCCGTCTTGGCGCCGGGTCGGCCCGCGGCGTCTGG